TGATGTAGGATATGGGTGAATTGAGTATTTAGGTAGTTTAGCGGAAGCGAAAACAATGGAAAACAGAAAATAGAACAAAAGGGATAGGTCTGGAATCACTCCAGGGGTTTGGCTTCACACCAGGGGTTTGGCTTCACACCAAGTAGTCTCCAATCTCTGGAAAATAAGCTTTTCTTTATACCTCAACAACTGAATTTTAAAGAACTACATGGGGGGTATTTATAGCAAACTAAAACCTAGAGACAATAGGATAAAAATCCCTTACTAAAACAGAAATCCTAATCCACCAAGGAACTAAGTAAAAATAAACTAGGAAACTTAAATCAAATCCAACTAAAAATCTGGAAACTAAAATCCTAGTGAAATCTGGAAAACTTGAGAATCTAGGAAACTAATAAATCAGGAAACTAACTAATGATGTCCGCATCAGATATTCCCAGAATGAGCGTGAACACTTTCTGTTTATTTATTTATTTTTATTAGAAATGGAATGTTATTAAAGAAACTCAAAAACACAGTACATGACTTAGTTAACAAGATGTCCACCAATAAAATGATACAACTCATAGAAAAACAAATCCATATTACACCTTTGACTGTAAGACAACTGTAAAAAGTACCCTAGAGTAGCTCCCCAAATCTAAATAAAATTACAGAAAATGAGAGATTCCGCTTAAATGTTTGGGTCAACAAAATGGGAGATCGCTAAAGCCTGGAAAGAGAAGCGCATAAGGATGACCCAAACCCTACTTTATCCCAAGAGCTCTCCCTCTTCAGCCCCACTTTAATTCTTATAAGTTCTTCCCTCTCTCCAGCCAAATTACTTGAAAAATCCAAAAAATTGTTTCCTACCACCACTAGAACACATATACTTTGTGACAAATAATGTTTGAGGATCACTGAGGAATAACCCAACTAACCACTGCAACCTTAATGAACCCACTGCACCCAAAGCATATGGGCAATTTACAAACCATTGACTTCTAGATTCTGCCTTTTTTGTGCACAAAAGCACCAGTGAGGCAGACAAACGTTGGTCTACTTTGTACCAAATCACACGTGTGTGCTCTTCCACGAACTCTGATCCATGCCAAAACACTAAATTTAGGAGGAACACTAGATTACCAAATCATTTTAGCTGGCTGAAACAGCACATAAAAATGTGAACAAGCTCTGTAAGATGAAGAATTTCAACAAGTTTTGTCCAACTTTGTTTAAACTATTTGTAGGTAGATTTTGGAATGTGCCTCAAATTTTTGTTACAGGATGACGTTTGAATGTTAATAAAAAATTAGGGATGTCAGACCCTGATTATGTCAGACTCTTATTAAAATGTGGGTTTAACATGTATCAGAACATGGTTTGTAAGAGGTCCTAAGTTCAATCCCAGTTCTCCATTTTTTGTTGGTTTGCAGCGTGCAGGGTAGGCTGCACCTATATGTTTGTCTCTCTATCTGTATTTGTCTGCCTATTCAAGTTGAGGATGGGCATGCACATTAGAGAGAGTTTCAGTTTGATATATGATGTCACCCGATTCCCTATTCAGCTTAAGCTTGGACGTGTTTACTCTGAGTCCCCCTAGCCACCTCAAACACTTCAAAGTCCTGTAAATCTTGAATGAATAATAATCGTGTGATACTTTTTTGGTGTGTTATGATGTCTACTAATAAGGCTGGTAATGGTGATCTTACCAAAGTGCCTTCTATTTTATATTCTCCATCTGAAATTTCTAGTAAAATGCTGATGTTTTTGGACTATCGAACAAATTATTCCGTCTCTAACCATTTCTTCTTCAATATGGGATTGACAGCGAGATGCTGCCACTGCTCCAAATGTTGGGGATCGAGTACCTTATGTCATTATTAAAGCTGCAAAAGGTGCCAAGGTAAATTTTCTTTAGAGGTTTTTTCTTTTCTTTTGACAGCAAATGCTTTATGGGTTATCAGTATTAATGGATATATGATAATCAGGCATATGAGAAGTCAGAGGACCCCATCTATGTGCTCGAGAATAACATACCCATAGACCCTCAATACTACCTTGAAAATCAAATTAGCAAGGTAAGCGTTTGCTACTATTATGTTTAATTTGGCAAATTAAAGGTCAATTTAAACCATTGCACTTTCCATATGTAATATTATGTAATATGGTCTTTATTTTGTTGCCTGCTTAAAAAACTTTTCATTCTACAGCCACTTTTAAGAATTTTTGAGCCCATTTTGAAGAATGCTAGCAAGGAACTTCTTCATGGGAGTCACACACGATCTATCTCAATATCTACTCCCTCAAACAGTGGAATAATGAAATTTGCAAAGAAACAGCTCACTTGTGTTGGCTGCAAAGCTCTAATTAGGTACAACTTTACCGATTTTGTCATATTCCAAATGACTGCTTTTATTTGTAGGCCTACTGAGTAGACAAATGACCCTAAATTCCTCATGAACATCATTTACTGTGGTAATGTGCTGATTGCTAATTAGCAAGAAAACTTAGCTTGGACGGAAATTATGGTCGAAATGTTTTTTAGCCCTCAAGTTTCACCATTATAAGCATTTGTAAATTGTTTGGTGTAAAGCAGATTGTTGGTATCAGTGGCAAGACCAGGAAAGCATGAGTTATGGACAGAGACTTGAGTTGTTTCAAAATAGATTTTTTTTTTTTTTATGTAAGTAAGTACAGGATTTGAAACATGTTTTAGTGGGATTACTGAAGTTTCTTAAAATTCAATTGGGAGCACCAAATTTAGAAATTATGAGCACAGGTGGGAGAATGGAAAAGTTATTAACCTAATTTTACGGCTTTTAGAAAGCTTCCTAAAGCAGGATTAAATCAATGGTCAAAATCTTTGAGTACTGAAAAGCATGGCAACTGACTTTCTCAAATGTATGTTTCATAGAATCATAACCTAAGGATTAGACATAAAAGGATCTGTATGATGACCCACCATGGCATCATAGACCGAATTGTCATTCAATGGACATGAGTTATCGCTGTCTCATCTTTGTGCTCCTTTGGATCCATTTCTAGGATATAAATTTTCACAAACATCTTGTTAAAATCTTATGGGTCGATGTTATAATCTCTATGGGCTTTTGGATAGTTCTACCATGTTTGTGAAAAATGTTAGGATGAGAGAAATTCTCAAGGATATACGTATTCATCTCTGGCACATAACTTCAGAGGGCCCATTGTATTTGCAGCATAATGTAAGGACATGCTAAGAAAAACATCACTTTAAGCAATCAACGAATCATGTTAGCATCTTCGAGGTTTTAGGGGTGCGAATTTTTTTTAGTGTTGGATAGTGCCATGTTAGATCTCTGTACATTTCCTGGTATAAAGAATCTAAAATCTTCTTAATGTTTGTGTTAATCCATCAGCAACGCAGATCGAACTCTTTGCTCGCACTGTAAGGGAAGAGAAGCTGAGCTCTATTGCAAAACAGTGGCTCATGGTATGAATCAATTTCAGAGTTGTATTATGTGCTAAATTGTAAAAGCATTCTATCATATTTGGATCTAAATTCTTTTAGTAAAAAACATATGAAAATGGTTTGTGTAATGTCGCAGTGTCTGAGCTAGAAACACTTTTTGGGCGGTTATGGACACAGTGCCAAGAGTGCCAAGGCTCTCTTCATCAAGATGTGCTCTGCACAAGGTATTTTAATTTCATTGGTTTGAGTCTTTTTTTTAGGGTTTTTATCACAAATGGTACCTCAAGTTCGCGAAATTATCACATTTGGTCATTTATGTTTTTTTGTGACATGGTTGGTCCCTAATGTTACTAAGCGTACATCAAATTGGTCCCTTGAGATTCCATAAAAAATTCTGTTAAAGTGCTGACATGGAACATATGTGGAGCTCACAAATCCAATGTTATAGAGCCACGCGGCTTTAAATAAAAAATATAATATATTTTAAAACTTAAAATCCATAAAAATGTTTTCAAAATTTGAAAGAATCATTTAAAAAAAAACAAAGTAAGAAACAAGAGAGAGAGAGAGAGAGAGAGAGAGAGAGAGAGAGAGAGAGAAGGGAAGAGAGAGAAAGAGAAAGGTAGAGAGAGAAAGAGGGGAGACCGAGAGGCAGGGAGTGGGTCAGGGAGGGTGGGTGCGGGAGAAATAGAACAGAGGGAGAGGGAGAACGCAGAGGGGAGAGAGAAGGGGCAGAGGGATAGAGGGAAGATGGGAGATAGAGCAGAGGTAGAGAGGGAATCGGGGAGATGGAGGGAGAGGGGGGGAATGATACAGGTTTTTTTATTTTTTTAATAAATAAAATATTTTTGTAATGTTTTTGAATTTTAAGTTTTAAAATAATTTAAAAATAATTTATTATTTATTTAAAGCCACGTGGCTCTATATCGTTGGTGTGGGCTCCAATTTGATGTACCAACCATGTTTGACGGAGTAACGTTAAGGACCAACCATGTCACAAAAAAACGTACAGGACAAAAGTTGATAATTTTGTGAACCTCAGGGACCATTTGTGATAAAAAGCATTTTTTATATATACCTTCCTACTGTTCCCCTGTGGGGATTGCAAGGAGTGGCTGTGCTACAGCTATCTTGCCATACATTCACTGTACTTATGCCATGTTTGTCTGTCAGCTTGCCACATTTGTATTTAACTCATGCTATATCTTCTTCCAGTCGGGATTGCCCTATATTTTATAGGAGAAAGAAAGCACAGAAAGACATGGCTGAAGCCAAAGTGCAATTAGACCGATGGAGCTTCTGACATTCGCCGGACAGTTAGTTCGTATTCCCAACCAAAAAACAAATGATATGTTCATGCGTGTTGAGCAGGCAGGGTCTGCGCAATTGTGCTGTTCAAGGAAATTGATGTTTACAAAACAGAAATTTTCAAAAACTTTGACCAAGCAAATTGCGAAACGGATGTTATTGGTTTTGAACTGAAACAAAGTGGACGGTAGCTCTATATTTGTACAGCTTGGACCTTGGTAGATAATTTTAGAATAAATGTTTTTACGAACTTTGTGAAGATGCAGAAAGTCTAGGAAGGCTTTGAAGTCAGCCATTAGCCGTGCTTATTTCCAAAACTACGACTATGCTCTGATAATGTTTGATTGATTGTATCATTTGTTGTTTATTCTTTCTTGGTCTGGTAATGTGTATTCTTGATTGTATCATTTATTGTATGTTCTTGCTTGGCTCTGCAATATTTCTTTCTAATTGTTATGGCAAGCAGAATTTGATATTTTTCATATTAGGTTTGAGTGTTTTTTTTATATTTATCAAGATGTGCTCGATTTAGACTACAGATGATGGACTCAATGCGTTGACAAACAGCTTTTATTTGATCTAAAAGCTTATGCTGTTGGACTTAAACTAGGGTCTAGCAATGGGCCATTGCCCACCTCAACCCCGAAATTTTAGAGTCATCTTGCGCAATTTCGAGGCATAATAGAAGCTACTATTGGTTGGAATGGGCTCAGCTCAAGCCGATTTGGGGTTCGTCCATACGACACATTGTAACAAGTTACTTAAGTTACTTGTCTAGCTAGGAACTTAGTTACCCGAACATGAACGTGACAAGTTACTTAAGTTACAAGTTGTCTAGCTAGGAACTTAGTTACCTGAACATGAACGTGACAAGTTACTTAAGTTACTTGTTGTCTAGCTAGGAACTTAGTTACCCGAACTTGAACGTGACGGCGATGTGAGCTAGACAACGGAATACACTGGTGTAGGCGTTAGCATCATAACCTTCATTCAACCCTTTGCCCTCAATATTATGTCCCATAGCCCTAACATGAACCCCAATTCCAAACTTCATAGCAGTGGTTATATTATCATTACATATCTATTGATAATGCTTCCCCACCTAGTTTGCATTTTCCTGTATAATAGTCATATTATAAACGTATGTACTTTTTAAAAAACTTTCATTTTCCGTACACATTTTTAAGACTAGATAAAATACACATTTTTTAAAATCAAATGTACGATACACGTACATATGTATTCTTCACATTTAATACAAGTGTCTTACAAAATTTTCAATAATACAGACAAAATTCACGTATTAAATTTTTGACATATTATTGAATAAAAATAATATATATTACAAAATTTAAATATTATATAGTGGCTGTATTTTTCATTTCTATTTTTTTTTAAATTTTACTAAATAAAACATGTACATATGTTATTCATATTTTTTCCGTTTCGTATTTTATTAACTATTCTCCACTAAATAAACCGCAAGTGAACTCTCATCATTTACATGAACCCAAGTAAATTAAATAGTAAAAAATTATTTACCAAAAAAAAAAAAAAAATTAATAGTCAAAACAAATAGCTACTTTATAATATTTTGTTATTGGACTCCACAAAGCATTTTTAAAAAAGGGAAGGTCAGACCACAAAGCTATAAATTAGACCCAATCATAAATGCATAGCACCAAATAAGAGCACTCGGAATTACAAGAATGATAAAGCTTCATCATCACATTTCACTTTGCAATTTCTGCATGTTATACATACAAGCTCTTCGAATACACTTCCTAAAGGTTGAGCCAAGTATACGTATGTATCAACATCTGTGTATAGCATGATATATATAAGGGAAGAAAACAAAGCCATCTCTTTGTTGGGTTAGTCTTTTCTTCTTACCAAAGCCCACACTGAATTACAATGATCTTGTGGGTGCAACTGTTTTTGAATTAAATTTGGGGAAAAAGCAAAGAAAAGGCCTGATGATCCGTGGGCAAGGATCTAGTGAGAACGCCTATGTGAGGACATAACATAAGAACATCGTTGGATCTAATCTAACGGGTGTATGAAAAGCAATTGTAAGTGAAAGTGTTGTATTAAAACGAGGCCTTCTTCTCTCTCCTCCCTAAAAAACGTCCCCTTCAAAACAGACGTCCCCTCCAAAACAGAAGTCCCCTCCAAACCAGTTGTTCACTCAGTTCAATGAGGAGGCCATTTTTTTATCAGCTTTGATTGAGAAAGAACTGTAACACTGAAGAGAGAGTGCCCATGTTAATCGTTTTTCAGTTTGAGGAAGAACACATAAACGGTACCCTCATTTTTCTGGGTTTCCCATTCAGGCGAAACAAAGGAATCTTGGATTTTATATTTTCATCTTTGTGGTTGGGCTTTTGTGGTTGGAACTGGCGTTGAGTTGGAAAGTGCTGACTGTACTGTTGTGGTTATGCTCTGTTGGTTTTGAAATCCTTGAGCGCGGTCGAAACAGGGGTTGAGGAAGATGAAAAGTTTTTGGGGTTGATGTCCAGATCTAAAAGGGCTACGTTACGTTGTCATATTTGTTGAAATTTTGAAGTTGGAAATCAGTTACGAGGTAAGCCATATACTGTATTTGTCAATTTCATTATTGGGCATCAGTATGAGTCACGTTAGGTTGTATGTATGTCTTTAATGTTTCACCAGAGAGTCATTTGCATGTCATATGTTAGTTAATATATATTTTAAAGCTGTTTGAAAGCATGTGCCAAATATTGGGCATCAGCATGAGTTACGTTAGTTTGTACATAGGTCTTTAATGTTTTACAGAGAGTCATTTTCATGTTATATATGATGGTGGTGATGTGATATTCAGGGTTAAATTGCAAGAACTGTGAAATTGAGTGCGAAGGACAGGTGACACCGGAAGTAAGTTCGGACTTGAAACCAAAATTGGGACTTGAATTTGATTGCTGTGAGGATGTGTTCAATTTCTATAATATGTATACCACGAAAGCCGAATTCGGTATTCGGTGTTCTACAACGAGAACGTGCACATTCACAGGAGAGGTAACAAGGAAAGAATATGTGTGTTGTAAACAAGGGTATTCGTTGACAAGTAGTATGAGTTGTAAGAGAAGACAGCGAGGTTGTACTCGAACTGGGTGCAAGGCTAAACTTGCGATTTTGAAGGTAAAAGAGAAGAATAAGTACACTTGTAGGATTCAATGAGGTACACAACCATGACATGACCACAATTGATAAAGTCCATCTATTGAGATCTCGCCGTAACTTAACATAGTCTACAAAGGTCTATAGTGCACATATGAGCAAAGTTAATATCCCTGTATATAAACAGGTAAGCCTTCTTGAGGTGCAACTAGGGGAATTGGAAAATGTTGGGTTCGTTAGGAGAGATGTCTATAATTATGCAAGGACGTGCGTGGGGAGGTGATTGGGCATGATGCAGAGCTGATGAATGAGCATTTTTTGGTTGAGCAAGCAAAAAATGAATCATTTTATTTCAAGATGGAGGTAGATTCGGAAGGAAGGATGGGTAATGTTTTTTGGGCATATACAAGGTCAAGACGAGCTTATGGGTTTTTTGGGGATGTGGTGGTATTTGATACGACGTTCAACACAAACCGCTATGGGATGGTCTTTGCGCTTTTGTTAGGTGTTAATAGCTATCAGCAGACAGTGTTGTTTGGTTGTGTATTCCTAACTAGTGAAACCACAGATTCATTTGTATGGTTGTTCGAAGAATTCAAGAAAACCATGCCAAGTGAGCCACCCAAAATGATCATCACTGATCAAGATGCAGCCATGTCAAAAGCAATTGCTTTAACTCTCCCGACAACATTCCATAGATATTGCATATGGCATATCTTGAATAAGTTTACGGAGAAACCCGACATTGGGGAATGTTTTTCGGAAATGTGCAAATGCATATGGGGTATGGGCACGAAAGAAGAATTTGATGCCAAATGGGGTGAAATCATCACAAGGAATGGGCTGAAAGACCATCTGTGGTTGAGCTCAATTCATGCTTTGCGGGAGAATTGAGTTCTATCATATGTAAAACATGTGTTTTCGGCTGGGATGTCAAGTAGTCAACGAGCCGAAAGCTGTCATTCATTTTTCCAACAATATATTAACCCGAAAAACATATTGATGGAATTCATTGTACGTTTTGAAAGAGCTCTTGGTTCACAGAGGCACAAGGAGTTAATGACTGATCATGTTGATAACAATGAAAACCTCCACTGCTATTTCGAACACTAATGCAATATCAAATGACACGCATTTACACTCGGGAAATTCTTGAAATATTTGAGAGGGAAGACTTCAGAAGCCTTTTATTCTTGTTCGAACTTGTAGAGCAAGATGAGACCCACTGAAGGTACAAAGTAAGTGAGCGGGTAAATCCGGGGGTGACAGGGATGAAGGAGCTTGTGCATGATAAAGATACCGATAAAGCTTATTGCAGATGCAAATGATTTGAATTTTGGGGTATTTCGTGCCGACACATCCTAGCATTTTTAAGAATGAAGTAGGTGGAGCACTTGCCATACAATTAAATATTGAAACGATGGCTTCAAAGTGCAAAGTGCGGTGTAGTATATGATAAGAATGACAAAGAAGTTAAATATTGCGTTGACGGTTTGGTTTTGGTTAAGAGATCGAAACTTTGCAAGGTTGCAGGTGATTTGATAGATTCGGCTTTGTTGTGTGATGAAGGTTTTGAGTTGCTGGAAAATTCATTTGGTGACATTCATGGGAAGCTTACAAGGTTGTTGTCATCAAGAGCTCATGTCGAAGAAGAACCCAATGGAGAGGTTGGAACTAGTTCTCCCCAAGTCAGAACGAAAGATCCTCATCGAGTAAAAGCAAAAGGGCGTGCGAAAAGAGTTAAAGGACAAAAAGAGAAGGCAGCGGAACGACATAAACGGCGGTACACTGAATGTAGGAAGATTGATCATGATAGACAGAGTTGTCCAAAACTTGGGAGCCCGTAAGTGAATATGTAATTGTCTGGATTTGAATTTTATGGCTATGTTGTTGACATGTTTATTTTTTTCGATGTTGTAGCTCTTCATCTTCCGACGCAGAAGTTGGTGCTGCAGTTGCTGAGTATTTGAAGCCCGATTAGAGCACGCAGGATAGTGAACCTACTATGACAGAGTCATTTATGCAAGAGTTTGATTTCATTTATAGTCCTGGAGTTTGAACATTTGTTGATACCAATTTGCGTCATTTTTGAAACCATCTGGAACCGTTAGTGAATCTTATGTAAATGCCTCATGTTGATACTGAACTAAGGTTTGTGAACATCAACAGTCAAACTGCCCAAAAACAAAGTAACTTTTTTATTCGATAATTATTAAGCTTATTTGTGTACATGCCCGCTGTGCTTTCAAATTTGTCTCAGATTACCACATGTGCTTCAAAACGTCTCAAAATACCCCCCAAACTTTTAAAAACGGTCTCACATTACCTGTTCCGTCAATATTATAGACATTCCGTTACGTGCTTTGGACCCCACTTCGTTTCCATCTTTAACCTTTGGGAATAAGGGTTTTTCAGTTTTAAGAAAGGGCTTAACGTTTGTCGCCTCTGCAGCTTTGTAAATTACCAAGTTGGTAGCTTTGTGAGGCAAAACCAAAAAGAAAGCAGTACCCAAAAATGTTCAAGTAAATAACAACATTTCTAAAACACTCTACGGAGAAAACAGGGCAAAGGGTCTCATACCCCATGCCCTAAATTGAAATGAATTAGATACCATTTTGTTTGGCCTCCCTCTGTTATTTATTTGTGTATTTGATCTTTGAAAATAGATAGTCTTATTGGTTTTTCAAGAGTCAAATCGAAGTTCATGGTAGGATGGTCGTCTTTAACACCTGGGTCTGTTTTAGATTGTGTCGAAACTAATGATGCATATCAGAAATAGGGTATACTGGTGAAATACCCCTTGAATTTGTACCTCGCTTTCAATTAGCCCCCTATTCTTTTTTTTTAGAAAATTTAGGAACCGATCTATTTTTTTTCGCCAATGTGCCCCTCGACGTCAGAATTTGGCACTTTCCATCCATTCAGCCGTGAAGATGGAGGGCACTTTAGTCCTTTCGCGTGTCCACGCAAGTCAACCCAGTCTAAATCCAAAATTCGAAGGAGGCTAGGTCACTTTCAGAAATAAAAAAAAAAGAGCAAACAAACTGAGATCAGAGGGTTCGAAAGTTTGGGGGAATTGGGGATTTCACGAAATCGACCTGCATAGTGGCTGACGTTAACAAATCGGTGAGGTTGTCATACAAATCTTGAAGCAACACACCTGTATTGACCAAGAAAGATGCCTGTCGAAGTACGGAGTAGTGGGCAGCCTCCCAAGTATAGTAAGTCTTCAACTTTCCCTTTCTTTTCATTGTTTAAGTGGTTGTGGTCCATAGGTTGTCGGTAGAATTGGATTTTTCCATCTTCTTGCCTTGCTGTAAGATTCCTTTTTGAATAGAAAAGTGTGGTCCCAAAGTAAAGCATGTGCGTTGGTTTGTCTGTGTGTGGCTGATGTTAGTAAAGGCTGGTGCCGATTGGTACGTTTGTTGTAGAAAATTGAAGTTGTTGAGTTAATTATTTGTTGTTTGTAGGTGATCCAGAGTTGTTTACAATTGAAATTCACCATGTGGGGTATTTTAAAAAGGGAAAGTATGTGGGAGGTACTGTCCAATGGGCAGACAACTGTAATACAGATCAGTTGTCAATGCTGGACTTATATGATGTTGCTGAATCACTAGGATACAACCACATAAAAGTCGATTATCGCTATAGGTCCACAACATTGTTATGTGGCAATTCGAGGAGACTTGGATGTGCTTGATTTTGTGCGTGAGATACCTACATCAAGGGTTCACGGTTTGTACATCACAGAAAAGCCAGAACCACAGAGAGATACTGAAGCCTCAGCAGATGTATTTAACTTTCAGAATTTGCTTCAACCAGAATTGATACATGTACATGTACAAGATGATGTGAACATTGCTGATGATGCCGATGATGAAGTTGAAGAGGAAGATGAGGAGCAGCAGGTAGATGAGGAAGAAGCTGTAAATGTTGATGTAGAGGATGATGAGGAAGAAGCTGTAAATGATGATGACGAAGAGCGCCTACAGTTCATAGATAGTGACTATGAGCAAACAGATGAAGAACAAGAGAGACAAAAGGGAGCAGAAGATGACAGGTGGTTTGATACGCATGTAGAGGAGGAAGCTGCTGAAGAACCACAGAGAGAACCTGGTGGAGTTCCAAGTGATGACTACAATTCAGAGGACCTTCTAAGTGTTTCAGAAGAGGAAGATGAAGTTGATGAAAATTCAGGTGTGAAAAAGGTTAGTCGTAGACTAAAAGCTCCTAGGTTCAAGCAATTCAAAAAGGATACTGATTTATTTAATCCAGTATTTCATATTGGCATGGAGTTTGCTAACATGGAACAATGTCGGGAGGCCATAAGATTCTATGCAGTTTCAAGTGCTAGGCCATTGAGATGGGTGAAGAATGATACTCACAGGGTTAGGGTGGTGTGTGGAAGTGGAGGAAAGGCTGAAAAAAAGGGTTTAGGAAAAAGAAATGCAGAAAAAAAGAAAAAAAAAAGGTGTGCAAAGTGTTGAAGATGATGGTGGAGAAGAAAATGGAGAAAATGGGGGAGAAAAGGGCAAAGAAAAAGGTAAAGAAAAGAGGGATGTCAAGTGTGATTAGCTGCTATATGCATCTTATGTGGGCAAAGGGCCTACTACTAGGATCAAGACATATCAACCAAAGCATTCATGTGGAAGGATGCAGAAGACCAAGTTTGCCACTTCTTCTTGGCTTGCTCAAAGGTTTGATGAGGATTTGAGAGATAATCCTAATATGTCTGTGACGGATTTCATGAAGATTGTGAGGAAGAATTATGGCATAGATATCACTGCAAACCAGTTTTACAAAGCCAAGAGCATAGCTAGAGAGAGAATACATGGAAGTATTCAAGAACAGTACGCAAAATTGTGGGATTACTGTGAAGAGTTGAAGACAAACAATACAGGCATCACTGTATTAATCAAGACTGATTTGCATGGGGACAACCCAGTATTTAAAAGAATATATATATGTTTTGGAGCATTGAAGAAGGGCTTTATTGCAGGATGCAGGCCAGTTGTGGGTTTCAATGGTTGTCATGTGAAGGGAACTCATCCAGGACAGATTTTATCTGCAGTTGGTATTGATGCGAATAATGGGATGTACCCTATCGCATTTGCTGTGGTTGAAGTAGAAAATACCGAGACTTGGACATGGTTTATGGAGATTTTCTTCGCTGATGTTGGGTGTGAAAATGGTAATGGTTGGGTGTTCATGTCAGATAAGCAAAAGGGTTTGGGGGAAGCCATTAGGGATTTGATGCCCACTGTTGAACACAGGCATTGTGTTAGACACCTCCACAATAATTTCAAGATTGCTGGTCACAGTGGACTAGCATTGAAGCAAAGGTTGTGGGCAGCAGCTAGATCAACTACAATACCCACATTTGAAGCTGAAATGGAGAAGATGTTATCTCAATCAGATGCAGCTTACAGATGGCTTCAGGAAAGGCCAGCAAATCATTGGAGTAGGTCACACTTCAGTACTCATTCTAAGTGTGATATGCTTCTTAACAACTTGTGTGAGTCTTTTAACTCAGCTATTATTGAAGCAAGGGATAAGCCTATTCTGACCTTACTAGAGAGAATTCGAAGTTATTTGATGCTAAGAATGGCTAGACTTAGAGAAACTGTTTGGACACATGATGTTGGTCCTAGGATTTTTGGAATTGTTGAGAAGCTAACAACTGAGAGTGCTCAATGCATAGCATCATATGCTGGTGGGGGGAAATATCAAGTTAATAACATCCATGGTGGAATGTATGTAGTGGATTTGGAGAGGCACACCTGCACTTGCAGAAAGTGGGACTTATGTGGAATCCCTTGTTCACATTCTATGGCTGCAATTGCCAGAACAGAGAAGAGCCCTTATGACTTTCTACATTCACTTTACAAAAGAGGTGCATATGACAGGGCTTATGAGAGTTATATATCTCCAATGCCTAGTCAAGAATACTGGAGAAAAACAGGCCATAGACCCATCAAGCCACCTCTTTACCACAAACAACCGGGAAGACCTAGAACAAGTAGGCAAAAGGAACCTGATTAGATACCAAAAAATGCAACAAAGCTGAAGAGATATGAGATTGTCATTTCTTGTAAATCTTGTGGAGGTGAAGGTCACAATTCTGCAACTTGTGGAGCTGAAGGTCATACTGGAGAAAGAGGTGGAAGACAGGTATGAAGTTTGTGATTATGTCTATTGATATGAACTTTGTTGAAGGTGCAAGTTGGTCCTTTATTTGTTATAAACTTTTGTTTTAATTTTTTGTTCAAGGAACAAGCTAGAGGCAAGGGAAGGGCAATAAGAGTTCGAGGCAGGGGAAGGGGAACAAGTATGCCAAGTGTTCCTGTCAGACAACCAGATCAAGCTGACACTTCAATCCAAGATAGACCTTTTAGAAGAACAAAGCTTGGGGTAATAGCATTTGTACTGATTTGGTTTCAATACTTACATTCAATGTTTAAACCAAATTTGGACTGATTTGTTGATTTTTGTCATTCTATTAGGCGAGAAGAGGGGGGCAAATGTTTGAACTAACAAGGCAGCTTGCTCAAACTGGTGCTACCTTACAAGGAATTTAAATTGGGCATGCTTCTCAACCAAACTCAGAAAATGTACCTCTATCGAAAAGACCAAGGCCATGGAGAGTGTAGCTGAGATTTGCTGATTTTGGTTTTTTGGAACACCAAAACATTAGGATTGCTTATGTAATGGATATGTATTGGAACATTTTATTTTGATGAATTTTTAGCTGATATGGTCCTAGGATTCTCATACTGATTTCAGAAGACCAAGTATTGGAACACAAATGTTTTGATTGGATTACAGTTAGAACACATGTGTTGCTTGGATTCGTGTGGTGGAATGTTTTGTAATGGATATGTTTTGGTTTAATACTGTTGCAACAGTTATGTTTGTTTGCTTGCTTATATGACCTTTTTGCCAATTGGAAACAAAATTTTCAAAACACAACTCATACATGCCATTACATTCAACAAAAAGACCAAAAGTCCATGTTTTACACATCTGCAACACAATTGATACACGGCAGGTGACATTGTCTTTGCCTTTCCCTCTCCCGTTTATTTATAGGACAGATTACATACGCTTCTCTAGCCCTTCGTTGTCTTTGCCTTTCCCATACATCAACCACAAAACTATCACAAACAACAAACAAGACACCCAAAACCAAGGGTTCTTTTTCAGCTTCTCTGGCCGAGACTTTTTTGCATCTTCCAACATGTTTATTTTCCGTAGCAGCCCAGGTCTAATTTGCTTCGACCTCTCACACATTTGTGGGTCACCCCATTCCTAATATCTACATCTATTCTGCACACTCCTCCCAACAAATTGATACCAAAAAAAAAAAAACAGAAGAAAAAAAGTACATCAGTCCAAATTTCCACTCAGCAACCCAAATTTCAAATATGCAAACCAAATTTCAATTATAAACTTCCCCTCCCACAGATGTAAAACCTCCTCCCTGGATGTGCAGCAGTCTAAGATGTTTGGATTTTCGCAGTCTTACCACAATAGCAAACGACTGAAGGCACCATCCATGAACTACCCTCTTCACCTTCGGCATTCCACCTCTATGACCCATGACCTCCATGACAATAAGGGTTTTTCAGTTTTAAGAAAGGGCTTAGCCTTTGTCGACTCTGCAGCTCTGTAAAGTACCAAGTTGGTAGCTTTGCGAGGCAAAACCAAAAGAAAGCAGTACCCAAAAATGTTCAGGTAAATAACAACATTTCTGAAACACTCTACGGAGAAAACAGGGCAAAGGGTCTCATACCCATGCCCTAAATTGAAATGAATTAGATACCATTTTGTTTGGCCTCCCTCTGTTATTTATTTGTGTATTTGATCTTTGAAAGTAGATAGTCTTATTGGTTTTTCAAGAGTCAAATCGAAGTTCATGGCAGGATGGTCGTCTTTAACACCTGGGTCTGTTTTAGATTGTGTCGAAACTAATGATGCATATAAGAAAAATGGTAGTTGCATTGGTAGTGATATTGATGTAAGAGATGATGTTGAATGTGATGAGGATGATGATGAGGTTAGGCTAAGATGTATCCTAAACCATTTCTCCAGCTTATTCAAATATTTGAAGTAAATCAATTTCACAGAAGCCGTTGCTCCACCATCCAAACCCAACTCTTTGGCCACAAAAGACCACAAATTGTTCTTCGAAACCCAATCATACCCACCTCTATCTCTCACCAAACAATTTGAACAAATCCACAAGTTGCCTATCATCAATCATGGCAGGGATGGGCCTAACAACACCTCTATCACCAATTTCCTTAACAAGTACAAATAGAACTTGATCAAATGTAGGAGAAAGAAGAAATCTGGAGAAGAAATTAGGAGAGGGGGGTGGGGGAGGGGGCAAATACCCCATTTCCCCCTTTCTTAAAACTAAAAAACCCTTATTTCCAAAGGTTAAAGATTGAAATGAAGTGGGCCCCAAAGCACGTAACAGAACGTCTATAATATTGATGGAACTGGTAACGTGAGACCGTTTTTAAAAGTGTGGGGGGTATTTTGAGACATTTCCAAACATAGGTGGTAATCTGAGACAAGTTTGAAAGTACAGGGGGCATGTACATAAATAAGCCTAATTATTAAGTGTCACACACGTATCGCATGACTTACATTGGGACATAGAAAAAGAAAAATAAAAAAACTACATTAAAGTCAACAATAAGTTACTTGAAGAGCCACTTAGTTCTCAGCATCAGAGTCATCACTTGACTCAAAGCGGCCACGTTCCTCTCAATCTAGAATGAGTTTGTCATTGTAGCAATCCTGGCACCACTCTAAATTTTGGGGTTTACACATGCAAACAATGGGAGATGGGGGCTTTGGGGAATAAGGGGTTGGGGATCGATAGTATTGAACATTGTCTGGACCTACCGCAAATAGATCCCTGCACGTCCCACAAGGACGGTCGTGAACGGCACCATGCTTGCAATAATTATGCGTAACTCGAACTTTTGGATCCATCTTTGGTTGAAGGTGGATGTCTCGGATGTCCTCTGGGGCTTTGGTGTTTTCAGAACCTGAAGCCATTGTTTGAAGGAGAATGAGTTTGGGATTCATGCAATGTGGGTTTTATACACCTTTGCAACGGTTGCAAGGAAAATCAAATATCTATGTAAGGGAATCTTGAAACCATCACTGTGTGTCAGTAAGGGAATCTTGAAACCATCACTATGTGTCATTAATGTGTCAAATAACCGAATATCTGTGTCAGAGAATCTTGAAAAAAATTGTCTCCTCGCCGATAATGAATGAAACAAAAAATTTGAGCAATATTAGTAACTGAACTCTGCTAATCCAGCAGTTAGTGATTGAACAAATAAGATTGAACTCTGGTAAGAACATAGAACCTAAGGCTGTGATAGCAGATGTAAACTCGAATAAACTGCACGTAAGTCAGATCGGATATAAACATGTAAACACAAACCCAGATCGGGCATTGACAAAAAACAAACAAGTGAATAACGATTGCCTAGCGATTGATATGGCTACCAGCCGTCATTATCGTCGGCTTTTGCTAGTTGGTGGCCTTGTTCTGGTGGGTGTACACCGCAGGAGATTATTTGATATGCAACAGACAAAGTTATGGCGTCCCAGTCAATATCTTTGTGGACATCTGCAGTGAACCGTCGAAATTTCTCAAAACCTTCGTTGAAAGCCACAGACATTGCCTGGCCATGCTTGTCGCCTCCTTTGTGGATGCTCAAAGATTCGTACGTAGCATCCTCCTCTGTCATATGCAATCCTTTGCTTTGTACTTTCGTCTTTGGGCACAAATTTTGTGCTTCTCTTTTCTGTAACACGCTTTGTTAACTTGCCGCGTCAAATAGGGCAACTTCTGCTTAGCTCCGACACACTTTTGAGTCCAATAATGGACCAAGGAGGAGTTGTGTTCCAGTTTGTTCTTCATATCATTTATTTCCACAACAGGATCATCGGAGTCCCCCTCGCTTGCCGAGGAGGTTGGAAGAGGCAGCGGTGGTAGAGGGGACCTTGGATAATTGGGGGCATATTCCCATAACCCATCGGAGTCCCCCTAATTAGGATTGGCCAGTCCAAATTTCCACTCAGCAACCCAAATTTCAAATATGCAAACCAAATTTCAATTATAAACTTACCCTCCCACAGATGTAAAACCTCCTCCCTGGATGTGCAGCAGTCTAAGATGTTTGGATTTTCGCAGTCTTACCACAATAGCAAACGACTGAAGGCACCATCCATGAACTACCCTCTTCACCTTCGGCATTCCACCTCTATGACCCATGACCTCCATGACCTCTGCCAGGTAAGGACCTCCTCATCTCCTAATATTTTGGGTTTTCTCCTAAACCCTAGATCCCCTTTTGGTTTAGGGTACGAAAATGGAGGTTGGGAAAATGGAGGGAAATTTTTTGGGGGAAAAATAGAGCCAAAACGAAGGAACTAATAGGTGAAGCATGGGTTCAGTTTAGTGGAGACACGAAATGACTAAATTAACCTTCAATTTAACGGCAGAATGGATGGAAAGTGTCAGATTTTGACGTTGGGGGGTACATTGGCGAAAAAAATTAGTTCGGTTCCTAAATTTTCTATAAAAAAAAGGATAAGGGGCAAATCGAAAATTAGGTACAAGTTTAGGGGGTATTTCACTAGTATACCCTTAGAAAAATGGTAGTTGCATTTGTAGTGATATTGATGTAAGAGATGATGTTGAATGTGATGAGGATGATGATGAGGTTAGGCTAAGATGTATCCTAAACCATTTCTCCAGCTTATTCAAATATTTGAAGTAAATCAATTTCACAGAAGCCGTTGCTCCACCATCCAAACCCAACTCTTTGGCCACAAAAGACCACAAATTGTTCTTCGAAACCCAATCATACCCACCTCTATCTCTCACCAAACAATTTGAACAAATCCACAAGTTGCCTATCATCAATCATGGCAGGGATGGGCCTAACAACACCTCTATCACCAATTTCCTTAACAAGTACAAATAGAACTTGATCAAATGTAGGAGAAAGAAGAAATCTGGAGAAGAAATTAGGAGAGGGGGGTGGGGGAGGGGGCAAATACCCCATTTCCCCCTTTCTTAAAACTAAAAAACCCTTATTTCCAAAGGTTAAAGATTGAAATGAAGTGGGCCCCAAAGCACGTAACAGAACGTCTATAATATTGATGGAACTGGTAACGTGAGACCGTTTTTAAAAGTGTGGGGGGTATTTTGAGACATTTCCAAACATAGGTGGTAATCTGAGACAAGTTTGAAAGTACAGGGGGCATGTACATAAATAAGCCTAATTATTAAGTGTCACACACGTATCGCATGACTTACATTGGGACATAGAAAAAGAAAAATAAAAAAACTACATTAAAGTCAACAATAAGTTACTTGAAGAGCCACTTAGTTCTCAGCATCAGAGTCATCACTTGACTCAAAGCGGCCACGTTCCTCTCAATCTAGAATGAGTTTGTCATTGTAGCAATCCTGGCACCACTCTAAATTTTGGGGTTTACACATGCAAACAATGGGAGATGGGGGCTTTGGGGAATAAGGGGTTGGGGATCGATAGTATTGAACATTGTCTGGACCTACCGCAAATAGATCCCTGCACGTCCCACAAGGACGGTCGTGAACGGCACCATGCTTGCAATAATTATGCGTAACTCGA